CTCGTGTATTTCGGTGTATTCACGGCATTCATTTTGTTATTCTACAGTATTGTTGTTTTATAGTTATTAACCCAATTTGTGTACTTTGAAATTGAAAAGGATATCGCATTGTGTTTGTTACTTTAGTTGCAGTTGTATGTCTTAAGTGTAATTTGGCTTGGCTTCCTATTTAAGGTAGCGCTGTTGACAGGAAGTTGTTGTTGCTTTGGAAACAACGTGACAGAGATTAACAGAGAAAAGTAATATCTACATATAAAGACGGAGAAAGTAAACGATAATGTTTATGGTTAAGTGTTAGCACCCCCCTCCCCGAACAAGCTCTTACGTTGAGAATGGAGATTTCAATAAATTCAATTTGGAAAAAAAACGGGGAAAAAACAAACAAAACGAATATCCGAATAACGAAATGTAACCCGAATAGTACTCCAACGAACGAATTCGGATATTGGAATATTCGGGTACAGCCCTAGTAGCTTGTGAATTTACTCCAGGTCGAACTAAAGTCTGATTTAACACTTGGTTATATTTCACATCATTCATCCAGATCTGTGAAGTAACTAAAGGTATTAAATACATGTAGTGGAGTACAAGTACACCATTTACCTCTGAACTGTAGTGGAGTAGAAGTACACAGGAGCAAAACATTTATATACTCCAGTAAAGTACAAGTACCTCAACATTTTACTCAAGTACATTACAATATGTTAACATAATTATATATATTTCATTTATTTCACATTTAAATAAAGCAATTAATAACAATTTGTTAGTTTTTCCCTGTAAAAAAATAACAAAAAAAGTAAATACAAGAATACCGTTAAAGTACCGGATCGATAAGCAGTATCGATAAGACTAGTAGTACCGTAGAAAACCTTAACGATACCCATCCCTAGATATTACACAATTAAAGTGTTAAGAGAGTGAAATGTTGCTTTACGAATTTCAATACTTGATGCTGTCACCTTGATTCCAAAGTCAGAAACCTGTATTTGCCTAACTGAATTGGTTTAAAGAGAGAAAACATTTTGACTAAAAGTTGACTAAAATGTTTTGAGTTTTCGTCGACTAAAACTATGAAGGATAGAAATGACTAAAATGTGACTAAAACTAATAACCATTTTCGTCTTAAGACTAAGACTAAATCAAAAACAGCTGCCAAAATTAACACTGCATGCCAGTGTACAGCCGTGCCCAAAAGCTTTTAGAATGACTCAAGTATTGGTTTTCACAAAATGTGCTGCTTCAGTGTTTTTAGATCTTTTTGTCAGATGTTACTTTGGTATACTGAAGTATAATTACAAGCATTTCAAAAGTGTCAAAGGCTTTTATTGACAATTAGAGTCAATAGTCAATATTTGCAGTGTTGACCCTTCTTTTTCAAGACGTCTGCAATTCGCCCTGGCATGCTGTCAATGAACTTCAGGGCCACATCCTGATGGCAGCCCATTCTTGCATAAGCAATGCTTGAAGTTGATCAGAATTTGTGGGTTTTTGTTTGTCCACCCGCCACTTGAAGATTGACAACAAGTTCTCATTTGGATTAAGGTCTGGGGAGTTTCCTGGCCATGGACCCAAAATGTCTATGTTGTGTTCCCCGAGCCACTGAGTTATCACTTTCGCCTCATGGCAAGGTGCTCAATCATGCTGGAAAAGGCATTGTACGTCATCAAACTGTTCTTGGATGTTGCACTCGGAGGATGTTTTGGTACCATTCTTAATTCAGGGCTGAGTTCCTTTGCAAAATGGAGTGAGCCCCCACTCCCTTGGTTGAGAAGCAACCCCACACATGAATGGTCTGTTGGCATGACCCAGGACTGATGGTAGCGCTCACCTTTTTCTTCTCTGGACAAGCTTTTTTCTGGATGCCCCAAATAAATAAGAAAGGGGATTCAACAAGAAAAAAGGACTTTACCACAGTCCTCAGCCATCCAATCCCTGTAATGTTTTACCTGGAGAGAAGTGGCTTCTTTGCTGCCCTTCTCGACACAAGGCCATCCTCCAAAGCCTCACTGTGCGTGCAGATGCACTCACACCTGCCTGCTGCCATTCCTGAGCAGGCTCTGCACTGGTGGTGCCCCGATCCCGCAGCTGAATCTACTTTAGGAGACGGTCCTGGTGTTTGCTGGACCTACTTGGAGACCCTGAATCCTTCTTCACAACAATTGAACCCCTCTCCTTGAAGTTCTTGATGATCCAATAAATGGTGGATTTAGGTCCAATGTTACTAGCAGCAATATCCTTGCCTTTGAAGCCCTTTTTTGGCAAAGCAAGGATGACTGCACGGGTTTCCTTGCAAGTTAACAGAGGAAGAACAATGATTTCAAGCACCACCCTCATTTTAAAGCTTCCAATGTGTTATTCTAACTCTATCAGCATGACAGAGTATTCTCCAGTCAACAATCTCATCTGTGTTAACGAGATAATCACTGACATGATGTCTGCTATTCCTTTGTGGCAGGGCTGAAATGCAGTGTAAAATGCATTCTCCAAACTTTTGGGCACGTCTGTAGTAGTAACGCGAGGGCAACAACGAGTCCATTGCACACTGGAAACAGAGAGAAGACTTCATGGATGAGGGCTAACTAGTTGGTTTAGTCCAGGGGTGCCCACACTTTTTCAGCTTGTGAGCTACTTTTAAAATGACCACGCTCAAATGATCTACCTACAGGGCCGCCCCTGCCCAATTTGTGTCGCGTGCGCGCGGGGGGGACTAAACGGCGGATAAACTGTGGCACGATTACAATAATTGCAGCGCATAATAGTGCGCCGCATTTGCGCTTCAGATGAGGAGGTGAGGCCCGCTCATAACTGCATGAACCCGTATGGCACAATACAACTCAGACTGGCTTACCTGTACGTCAATCAAGTGGCAAATGCCATAGTAAGGATGGATGATAGGATGTTTTTTTTCTTCAATGCCATGTGATCTACCCACACTACCTTTGCAATCGACCGGTCGATCGCGATCGACGTATTGGGCACCCCTGGTATAGTCCAAAGCTGGGCTGGGATTGGATATGACATCTTACAAGCTAGACACTGTACAAATACACCGTACCTCGAGTTTCCCTGTTCTGTTTGAATGGCTGTGGTAATGCTGTTGTACATGTGGTGTTGATGTGGGACCTCAGTAATGAAGTAGCAGTAGTTGCAGCAGTTTTGCTTTCTGCATGGTGTCTGCCGCCCGCTCACACTGCCTGCTCATTGGCTGGCTGCACTTTCTCTTGTGGTTGGAGCCTGTAGTGGCTGTGTCTGTGCCCCCCCCACCCCACACTCTGTTTGGACCCCCCTTGCCCTGCCACCATGCACAAACATGTATGTTCCAGTGTGTTTTGTGTTGGTCCCTATGCTGACATGTTACCCACCACTAATCACGGGCACATGCCCCTCCCCTTCTCTTCTGAGGCTTACAATATCATGTGGAAAAACAAACGAGTGCAGGTAAGGAAGATGGCTTTCCGTGTTAAGGTGGGAGATCTCTCCCTGTAACTCTCATTTGAAGACCTCACTAAGTTTGACCTTCTCTAAACTAGGAGGAACATCACATGTGCTGTTTTTAAGAAATGGTTCTGGACATTTGTTAGCAAGTTAAACATACCTCATGACATGTCTGTGCTTGTGATTGCTCACATTAAATGTATATTATAGGAGCATTTTATTTTTGATTCCACCACCATATGTCTGAGTTGCTGCATATCATGCTACACATTTACTCTCAGCTGTTGCAGGATAAAGCATGTCTCAGTTGTCTTTTTGTTTGTTTTTGAAAGAAAGTTAAGATAATGTCACACTACAGATTTAAAAGAGTCTGAAACTCTAAACGAGAAGCACCCTCTCTTCATGTTGTTGTTTGTATGTGCATCTACACTTTTGCCCAAGTGTTGTTACATATGATGATTATTGCAGATCTGTCTTTGCTTCAGATGTTGAAATGACCTTTACCTGCATGACTATAATGAACTTTAGTTAAGCTAAAGAGTTGTGCACTGAAATGATGTAAAGAATAAATGTATATGATGCTACTTCTTTCACTTTTACATGAGTACTCCCTAACACCTGGAAACACATGTTCACATATATTATAATAGGAGTTCCATTCATTCCCTTCATGTTCAAGCACAGCTTCAAATAGTGGCTTCAAAACGGTTTAATACATAACATTTAGTTTGATTGTACCCTATGAAAGGGATAGTTTACCCCAAAATCCAAATTCATATTTGTCTTCCTATTTATAGTGCTGTTTATCAATCTATATTGTTTTGGTTTAGTTGACAGGTGATTTTTAATCCGGAAATGTTTGTCTTACGTTCAATATAATGGAACTACCTAGTATGTCCCTTAAAGTGATCAAAGGTCAAAAGAAATTACATTTAATGAACAGAAAGGCCTCTCGCCCAAATTCATGACCAAGGTGCTCAAGATAATCTACAGACCTTGTTGTGAGCAGATACATTCAGGAACTATTGGATTCATCCCAAAACAATCTGCAGTGCGAGATCTAAGTGGTGTCCTCCTCGACTGAGCTCGTACGTTGGCTAGCCTCTTGTCCATAAGTACATTTCCCTCTTTCCACTGTGCTGTGTATCAGTAAAACAACATGAAACAGGGTCTGCACTGTAGATTATATTGATTCATGATTTCTGAAAAGATGCACTGCTGTGGAGTACATCAGATGCATTCTTTTGAACTGTGAGCCCCAAAAATAAAGAATATTTGAGTTCCATTGTATTGGAAAGGAAGCAGTCATCCTACGGTCAAGATCAACAACTCACTCCAAAACATGCTAGGTTGTTACATAGCCACACAGGTCAAAGGAATTCTATGTAATGGGTTAACTGTCCCTTTAAGCTGGGAGTGACTAGAAATGCTCACAGATACCTCTTACTTTTCAAAGAAAACATGAACCGTTTAGGAGGCATGAAGCTTCCTAGATGATCAAGGCCTTCATCAGTAATGTTGTTGTTTGTAGAACTCTAAGTGATCCACTGTGTTTCCTCTAGTTGAAGATGCGCGCCGGTGGGATGAGTGAGTCATCCAAATGGAAGAAGCAAAAGCGTTCACCGAGGCCGCCTCACCACATGGTCCGAAGTCCCTCCGGTCAGATGGACCCCACCCAGCCCAGCACCCTCAGCAACAACAACCTCTCAGGTCAGACAAACTGTGAACATACACTGACCCATAATCAATGACCCAACCCTAGCTTCAAGATGCTCAATAAGCTCAAATCATATTCTCCAATTAATTTGTTTCTATCATGGTAGGGTAAAGTAGACAGGGAGAACATGCTCTTTTTTATGAATTGTGTAATATTGGCCCTATTCTCTAGCATCACATAATAAGTCTGTGGTGGACTTCTGATTTGACTTTATAGATTATGTCATATTAAAGTTCAAAAGGCTTTTTTGTCATATGCACAGCTACAGTGTAGTTATGCAATGAAAATTGCATCCCAAAGTCATGGGCTCCGGCAACAATGCAACATGTATATACATAGGATACAAATAGAAATAGTCCAAGCAAATGTGGCAAGACTAATGTGCAAGTTATGAAGGAGAATTCATTATATGCAAGTAAAATAGAATAAGATGAGACGCGGTGAAGAGGCATAATGTTACATTGTGTGTGACTGCATCTCTTTCTAGGCGGCGTCCCGTTCATCGAGTGCTCAGACAGTGCTGCTTCGTCAGTCTCCAGCCCTACAACCACAGACAGTGGCCTGGACACCTGCTCCAAAGCCACCTCCAGGGAGGACCTCTCCGACCTGGAGCCCTGCAGCTCCTCTGCCACCATGCTTCCTGGCTCTGAGCCTGGCTCTCCAGATGCACAGGTACATAAAACAAATGTTTGGCTTTCCCCATTTCCATGTTGAATTTCTGAAGCTGTGTCTTTTGTTAGTGAGTGTGCTAAAGTGAAATTCATGAATTGCTTTTTTGGAGCTGGTCACTTGAATGATGACTTATGATTTATTTTCTGTTTTAAATTGTGTCTAGTCTGAGGGCAGTCAAGTTGGACCAGCTCAGTCAGCCTCGATGGAGTCCATCCCTGAGGTTCTGGGGGACAAAGACAACGCTACGGATCAGTCAGACAGCGCCTCTATACATGACATGGACTATGTCAACCCACGTGGAGTGCGCTTTACTCAGTCCACACAAAGAGACGGTAAGACTCTACCAGAATTTTATTTCTCCGATTTGTTTCTGGACTTTTTTCCAGTTGTGTTTTTGTATTGTTTCATGCCACTGTTAACTTGCATGAAAAGGTTGTATTTACTCTTGTTTTCTCTGCAGGAGCGTCCATCATCCCTTATGGCTTGCCATGTCTAAGGGAGCTCTTTCGCTTCCTGATCTCCCTGACCAACCCCCACGACCGCCACAACACTGACGCCATGATGCACATGGGCCTGCAGCTGCTGACTGTTGCACTCGAGTCAGCACACTTCACTAACTACCAGTCTTTACTGGGACTGGTCAAAGATGAGCTCTGCAGACACCTTTTCCAGGTAGAAGATAGAAGATAGAAATAAATGCTTGTTGTTACTTTATGTACAGTATTTACATGTGTTGTATATTATCTTCTAATATATACTTTATTATATTTTCTCTGCATAAGTGACAGGTGCTTTGCGGAAAAGTTCTTTTGTGATACCATTTGAACTATTTTAAACTCATTCAGAAATAATTAACAGACTTATAAACAGGACCTGCTAGCAAGGCACTTCCATCGTAGATTGGTTGAATCTTGTAAGATCTGCTTTGATGGGCACCAAAGCATGTATATGTTTAAACCCATCACCTGTGCATATTCTTGTGTTTGTTAACCTTAAAGTGGTGCTCTACTATTACAAAAGTAATTGTGCCTTCAGTCTTTCACCGTAGTAGGAACAGCAATTCAGTGATGGAGAGATCTGCAAAATTGTATTTAGGAAAAGCTGGACTGATTTGCTATATTAATATTGTAATGCATCTTTTCTGATCATTTTGTTGTAGCTGCTGAGTGTGGACCGTATGAATCTGTATGCTTCCTCCATACGAGTTTGCTTCTTGCTTTTTGAAAGCATGAGAGTACATCTGAAGTTTCAGCTTGAGGTATGTAACTGGTGTGCATTATCTGATTTTTTTTTTACTCAATGATCTTCACGCTCTGTCAACCTTCAAAGGTAACTTAGTTGATCCAAATAAATGTTAAACCTGAACTTGAGGGGCTTATAATCCTCACCCTGTGTCCTGTCAGATGTACTTGAAGAAGCTGATGGACATCATCACTTCAGAGAACATGAAGATGCCCTACGAGCTGAAGGAGATGGCTCTGGAGGCTCTGGTCCAGCTGTGGAGGATTCCTAGCTTTGTCACTGAGCTGTACATCAACTATGACTGTGACTTCTACTTCTCCAATCTGTTCGAAGACCTCACCAAGCTGCTCTCCAAGGTAACATCGTTATGGTCAGGGCTGCACATAACTGGTGCGCAGGTGCGCATGCGCACCCGCCGCGAAAAAAGGAGCACCGGATCATTTGAAAAAAGGCGCATTTGCGCACCAACATTGAGAGAGAGAGAGATATTTGCGAGTTGCATATGAACTGGTAAGATAGCAGGGTTTCCCACACATAGACTTTACCTGGGCGGGCCACCCAGGTATATTAACGGCCGCCAAAGTATAATTCGTAAGCCGTTTAGGTTTGATTTTTTAATCCGTCCGCGAGCACGACGGCATCTGTCGATCCCTCGCTCTACCCCCTCGCTATCGTGTGAAGGGTCTGCTTTATGCACTCCGCACAGTAACCCTGCTGCGAGGCTCCGGTGAACAGTCCATGAGCGTGCTCACTAGCGCAACTCCACCCCCCCGTTTATAAAGTCAAGTACTCCTCAAAAGGTCCGGTTTATTTCATTTTAAGGATGCGCACCAAGCAACATCTCCAGGTGCTCCTTTGAGAACCAGGGCAAAAAGGTTGTGTGCACCCCTGGTTATGGTGCTTTTTACTGTTGCTCATAAGACCATGGAAGTCCTTGTAAAATAGGGCAAGCTTTAATCAAATTCTTAGTTAGTCAAAGCACTTAAGATATTCATTGCTATCGGGATGTTAAGAGCATTCCATGGAATATAACAAAAAGTGTATCTCGAGCCGGTTTCTCAAACTTACCCCACCTTTAAGTCCATTTAGTTTTCAAAAACATTGAAATTGGATTAGCTGTTATTTTACGTCCTGCTGTCGTAAGGAACATTAGTTATGCACAGTCAGTAAGCTTAGCATCCAAATGTGTGCACATTTTACAATGAACAGCTTCCTGTTTCAGTGTTGTGTGCACAATAATAGCTCTTTCTTATTTCCCAGTTTTCACCTCCTCGACTCTTCTCCTTGACTCCTTGACTCGCGTCCTAGTCCCGAGAAGACGAGGCGGTTTAGAGAAATGAGAACTCCTCTCCTCTGAGCGGTCATTTTAAAGAGACGTCCATTAATGATGACAGGAGGCACAGCAGCATCATCCGTCCAATGTTTTGATAAACCGCTGACATAACTGTGTTCATGACAACGTATATAGATTTACTTTTATTTCCATTCACAGTGTGGTATAAGGAGACAATAATAGGCTACCGATGAGGACAGGCGCCGGTATGATTTGACTGAGGGGGAAAACTGATTTAACTATTAAATATCCTGTAGACATGCTAAATAATAATAATATATATATAAATTAATTACGGCTCAAAAGTGTTATTTTCCTTCAACATGGCGCGCTGAAATCCATTTCCGGGTCACTACCGAAGAGGTGAAAATTAGAGAAATGAGAAAGGGCTTATGTCTCAACAAGCTGTAATTAACAGGCAACGTGTTGCTTCAGCAGTAGAGATGGAAGCTTAGAACAGGGTTAGCTCTGCTGGGCTGCATCAGGGAATATCAGCTGAACATACTATGGTCTATGGGCAGATCCTTGTGTAAACATATTTAATAACCACTGAGTAGACTGCAGGGCCACAAAGAAGCCCCACCCTAACTCAATATTTAGAGGCACATTGTACTTAGATTTTGCTCTGGACTAGAAAACAAATCCAAGCTCCAAGTTTTGTCCTCTATCATGCGACACTGTGGGGACATCTGCTGAGTCGACCTTGTTGTTTATATTTGGTTTGTGAGCCATCAGGAGATGTTATAAATGTATAAACTACAAGTGAGACTGATGCAACAGGTTCGTGCAGAGGTTGGATTCTTTCTTGTGTTTTTAGTTCATTTGGCCTTCTCACTACCCATTCATGTTACTGTTCTTTTTGTACAGTTCTGGTTACAGACTTTCTGTTGTTTTAAGTTGTAATTCATTGACATCAAAAGAGACAGAACACACAGTAAAAACCAAAAAGATGAATTAGGTTGATAGCAGTATAATTCGAAACTTGTCCACAGAATATGTTGTTATTGTGAATTATTTCAGCCTTGATACTCTAATATCATGACAGCCCTAATATCCAATGGATTCCACTCTCCCCCCTGGCTACAGAATGCGTTCCCGGTGTCGGGGCAGCTGTACACCACCCACCTGCTGTCTCTGGAGGCCCTGCTCACTGTGATCGACAGCACTGAAGCCCACTGCCAGGTCAAGGTGCTGAACAGCAGCGCTCAGCAGGACCACACAGACACCCTGCAGGCAGAGGGAGAGAACAGCAGGGACGGGACTGAGACTACAACCGGTACACACACTGGCTGACTGACTTTGTGGATATGAAACCGTATATTATATCTTAGATAATGTTAGAAGGCTCTAATACATTTGAGCTTTTTACTGTGATGTTTTTACTGGTAGTATTTCACTTTTGTCTAATGATAAAAATAATTACCAATTTTAGCAGCTATACACTGTTCCCATTAAAGTACAGAATCAAACTCTTCTTCTAAATTAAAAAGCGCTAAATGGTCAGGCACCATCTTAAAATATGTTTTAATTCCCTACTGCCCCTCTAGGGAATTACGCTCCCAGAGTGCAGGTATGTTAGTCGTGCCCAGGGAGGCAGACAGTGTCCATACTTTTAAAGGTCACCTATCATGCTATTTTTAGGCAATAGCATAGGTCTCAGATATATACAAATATATAAAAAACATGTCTATAAAGTGTTGTGCTCAAAATACCAAACAGATCACCCATTCTAGCCATGCCTCATATCCCTCTATTTCACTTCCTGTTTCAAAAGTGCTGATTTTGGGAATAAAGCTTTGGGGAAAAAAATGTGATAACAAAAAAATGGAGGGGGCTCATGCAGGAGATTCTACCGGCAGATAGCCTACTGTCTAAACTAAATACTGCGGTGATGAAACGCCATATCATGGATTATCAAGGATTCTCTCTGAAACAGTTTGGAGCTCAAAGGCTTTCTCTCTTGCCGGTTATACCACAAGGTGAGTTCCTTTCTATTTCCTGCTTCTTCACACACATGCTCTCCAGTACAGGTTAGCTCTGAGTGTTAGCGATGCTAATGTAAACACCGACCATATTACGTCCAAAACAGTCAGGCATTGTTTCTGATAGCATCTTTCTGATAGGGCCGTGGGTGTAAAGCCAGCCTACATTTCCGATATTACGTCATATCGGACGCAAATCTGAATCAGCTCTGTTGTAGCCCTGTTTTTACAGATTTGGGTACGGAGGAAAAGAGAGAGGGTTTTATTTTCTGACGCTGGGTGAGTTCCCTGACACACCGGGGACACATATTCATGTATAAAAGACATCAAAAAGTGCATTTTGCATGATAGGTCCCCTTTAAGAGTGTGCTGAAGACCTTTAAAAAAAAAAAAAGCATAAAGTTAATGCTGGTGTAAGATTAGTTTGTCCTCTTGAGTCCTACATTTTATGGTATTTTATTTTATTGTCTTTTTGTTGTTGTTTTCATCTCATTTTATTTGTATCTATTTTATTTGTATTTCACATTCTATCATTTATTATTTTCTACGTTTGTTAATCTATAAATCTTACTGAGACAAACGTATTTTATGATATTGGGCTATATAAATAAACTTTGTTTTGATTGAATAGCTTTTTTTTCCTTGAGGCCATCATGTAATGTGTAAAGATACAAAATAGAATGAAGAACCTGAGATATCAATAGCTTCATTTAAAAAATGCCAGTTGGGCCTTGACATGTATGTATATATTTTCTTTTTACAAAACCCATTCTCCTTTTGGTCCTCAGATTTGAACAGACAGGGCAGTACCAACGGTCTGAGTCTTCCACAGGCTGAGGACGCCCCGGTGTGTCCACCAACCAGTGGACATCTGATGGCAGAGAAGATGAGACTGGGCCGAGAGGACCAAGGGGATTATGACCCTGGTGAGAACTTCATCTTATACACATTCACTTTTAAGTCTCCATAAGCATTGGGATGGAAGCTTATGTAAGTTTGAATGTTTTTCATCCAGCTGAGAAGAGTGCCTCGAAAAAGCCTCAACGCTTCTCTTCATGTTTACCTGATTCCCAAGAGTTGATGGACATTAGAACAAAGAAAAAGGTCAGTGGTGTTGATTAATCTAGATTTATATAATCAATACATATACATAACTAATTATAAAAGCCACTGCAATACCTTCAAACTGCTGTTGTCTGTCCTGTTCCCAGCTACTGATCACAGGCACAGAGCAGTTCAACCAGAAGCCCAAGAAAGGGATCCAGTTCCTCCAGGAGAAAGGTCTTCTCAGTAACCCCATAGACAACAACCAGGTGGCCCAGTGGCTCAGAGAAAACCCTCGACTGGACAAAAAGATGATCGGCGAGTTTGTCAGCGATCGCAAGCACATGGAGCTCCTGGACAGCTTTGTAAAGTAGGGGACATTTCAGAGCATGACTGCCATTTGTTCTAGGGTTGATAGGGTGTAGATGTTTTAGTTCCCATGAAACATCGCTATGTTTGATGTCAATAGTAGGGGTGTAACGGTTCACAGAATTCACGGTTCGGTTCGTACCTCGGTTTGGGGGTCACGGTTCGGTACGGGTTTGGTACAACAAGGAAAAGCAAAAAAAAGTCGTGAGTAGTGCAAGTTTTGCTATGAAAATAAGGAACTCTAACATTTGGAATCATTAACTGTATTACACAGTTCAAAACAAACTACAAACAGTAACACACACACACACACACTCAGATGACCATATTATTTATAATGGCTGATGTAAAACTAAAAGGTTAAATAAGCTGTACAACTAAAAAGAATGTCTTGAAAATATTTAAATACATAATAAGAAAGTTTAAATCACAATCAATAAAAGGCAATACAGAACTGTATAACATCTCCTGATGTCAAAATATAAAATACATACAATGATAAATATAAAACAAAATAAAATCTACCTTTAGGAGCAATGTCTAAGATGTGTAATTAACTTGTGAGGCCATTATGCCTAAATAGAGGTACTCAAGCTTTACTCTATTTTTAAGTTTTTCTTCAAAAAGATGAGTTTGTCTACGTTGTCAGTAGTGAGTAGTGAACTATGTCACCTGCCGTCGAGAAAACCCTCTCGCTGGGGACTGAGACATGATTGAGCATGTTTGACGTGTTACCACTAGCATACCGCACCGCTGTCGAACAACGCCGACACACCGTCCTCGTCCGATCCACAACTCGCACCCCATGATTGTTGTAGTCCACAGGGAACCCGAAATGTTCCCACACACCTGATTTAAAAGAAGCAGGTGGGTCTTCTAGCTCCTGTGTGTTGTGTGAACTCGCCGTAGCTACTAACTTTTTTTCTTCATGTATTGTGTTCGTTTTGTTGTGTTTTGTTCTTCATTTGTTATTTACGGGCGGCTGGCTTTTAGGCGCAATACCGCCCCCTGGATTATATATAGTGTAATACTGCCCTGAGTGACAGACTTTTTTCCCACTCGTAAAAAAAGGCGTATTCGCCGTGTGACTGCATGTGCCGAACCGTGACGGGCGAACCGTGACGGTACGGGACGAATACGAATACCGTTACACCCCTAGTAAATAGTAAATAATGCTTAAAGTGGTAAAAATATTTGAAGTTCTAATAAAGTCAATCCTTTTTGCAGCACATTCGGCTTCCAGGGGCTCCGTATCGATGAGGCCCTGCGGCTCTACCTGGAGGCCTTCAGACTCCCAGGAGAGGCTCCTGTCATCCAGAGACTCCTCGAAACCTTTACAGACAACTGGCATGTGAGGCACTTTTGCTCAATTGAATACAAAAATTTAAAAATGTCTGCCTAGGTATTTTTTACAATATATCAGCAGCAATTTGACCTTCAGATTAACAAAGAATTGGGTTAGGAGCACATCATACGAGATATGTGGACCTGACTGTTGTTCTTCTAAAAGTCAGACTTTAAAAATCCACTACACTTTAATCTTGAGTGACAGCAGCATAATCAGAACATGAATGATGATAAAATAGGAGCCAATCTAAGACTGAGCTTGAACTGATGATTTTTTTGATGTTGAATGGAATTAGATGAATTTTGACATACACACTCATAAATGTGGACTCAAGGCTAAAAAAAAAGACATTCAACTCCTCAGTGACCTGAACAACAGAGGCTCGTGACTTCACTTGAACTTTTGACTTAGAATGACAAGTGCAGTTCGGACAACTATCTCGTCCTTTTTCTGACAATATATCACATAAGAGAACTCATCAGCAGTTCAGCTTCCAAGACACCAAGCTGACTAAAGACCAAGCTGGTTTCCGTCCTGGCCGCTCCTGTGCTGGACAGCTACTCAACCTCACCCAACACATTGAGGATGGGTTTGAAGGAAAACAAATAACTGGAGCAGCATTCATAGATCTTTCTGCTGCCTATGACACTGTCCAACACCGTACAATGGTCAGGAAACTACTGGACATGACTGGTGACCTGAATCTGTGTCAAGTCATCAAAAGCCTCCTCAACAACAGGCGCTTCTACGTCCAGTTAAATGACCAGAGGAGCAAGTGGAAAGCCCATTAGAACGGCCTCCCACAAGGTAGTGTACTGGCCCCCCTCCTGTTCAACATATACACAAACGACCAGCCATTACCCCCAGAATGCCAGCGTTTCATCTACGCAGATGACCTCTGCATCACCACCCAACAAGTAGACCTCCAGAAGATTGAGCCTGTCCTTGAAAGTGCCCTCCAAGAAATATCAAGCTACTACAATAACAACCACCTGAAACCCAACCCATCAAAAACCCAACTATGCAGCTTCCACCTGAGGAACCGAGACGCTAAAAAGGAACTGAGCGTCACCTGGGATGGCCACAAACTGTCCAACCATACGCATCCCATGTATCTTGGTGTTACACTGGATAGGACACTCTCCTTCAAGAAACACCTGGAGAACACCAAAGCCAAGGTCAACACCCGCAACAACATCCTGCGCAAACTAGTGAACTCCAAGTGGGGCGCAGATCCACCAACAATCCGTGCAACTGTCATGGCCCTGTGTTTCTCTACAGCAGAGTATGCCTGCTCAAGATGGAGCCGATCACGTCACACCAAACTGGTCGACACAGCCTTGAATGACACCTGCCCCATCATCACGGGATGCGTTAAGACAACACCTGTCCCGTGCCTCTATGCGCTAGCCGGCATCTCTCCCCCGCACATCAGACGACTAGGTATCGCTCAAGATGAACGGAGAACACAGGAGACAGACATCAGACACCCCTTGCATGGCCACGTAGCACCCCCACACAGGCTCCGATCCAGAGCCAGTTTTGTGTAGACAGTCCTGCCCCTCCAGACAACCAAACAAGCATCAAGGACCAACATCTGGGAAGATGAATGGAAAATAAATGACACACGAGCTCTTGAATGGCTGGACAGAGGAATCACACCAACGGAAAGCCTCGCTAGTGGCCACGACCTTGGCTGGACAACCTGGAAGTCACTTAATAGACTGCGTGTGGAACGGGGGAGGTGCAAAGCACTGATGAAAGTGTGGAACTACACCACAGAAGACACGTGCAGCTGTGGATCAGTGCAGACAATGTCCCACCTACTGGAATGTGCCGATGCCCCCCGGTGCAGTCCAGAAGACCTGGCAGAACCTACCCCATCAGCTGTGGCCTGTGCCCGATACTGGCAGAACGACATCTGAGATTGCTACGGACTCGAAGAAGAAGAAGTCCAGCTTCCAACTTTGTCTGACTTTTGAGGCTTCGTAAATACATGATATTTAGCCTGTAGCATCATGTTCTTTTCCCAGCTCCTTTCTACTTTGTGATTTGTAAAACAATGACTTGGTCCCACCTGCTAAATTTCCCATACCTTCAAACACAATCATTTTTCTGATTCATTACAGTAAATACTTTAGGCTGGTGACTTTATGACACACACTCACACCAGCTACAAATGGACGTCTCCTTCATCAGATTATTCCAGCTGTTGTAAAGGTGGTGAAAGTATAAATCAAACACTGTCACGTGATGGTCCCTCTGGGTTATAGTAGTAGGATGACATAAGTGTTAACACAGACACACAGTGATGGACACACCCCCAAGGGGGAACATTTGACTTCTGAAAATAGCAGAAGGAGCCATGTGTGCTGGAAACTATGCGTAGTAATGTCCTTTTCTTAGGCCGCACACATACTCAGATAGTGGCTTGAAAGAGTTGCTGAGTAATTGTAGACAGTGACTGTGTAAATGACTTTTCCACTCTGAGTTCACTGTTATATCAGCAGGAAGTGCAAGGTGAGTCTTTCATAGCCTCACGTGTGTGTGTGTGTGTGTGTGTGTGTGTGTGTGTGTGTGTGTGTGTGTGTGTGTGTGTGTGTGTGTGTGTGTGTGTGTGTGTGTGTGTGTGTGTGTGTGTGTGGTTGTGTGTGTGTGTGTGTGGTGTGTGTGTGTGTGTGTGTGTGTGTGTGTGTGTGTGTGTGTGTGTGTGTGTGTGTGTGTGTGTGTGTGTGTGTGTGTGTGTGTGTGTGTGTGTGTGTGTGTGTGTGTGTGTGTGTGTGTGTGTGTGTGTGTGTGTGTGTGTGTGTGTGTGTGTGTGTGTGGTGTGTGTGTGTGTGTGTGTGTGTGTGTGTGTGTGTGTGTAGAAAGTGAACGGCTCTCCTTTCATGACCAACGATGCGGGCTTCGCCTTGGCCTACGCTGTCATCATGCTGAACACTGACCAGCACAACCACAACGTCCGCAAACAGAACATCCCCATGACCATAGAGGTGAGTGGTCCCTCACACACACACACACACACACACACACACACACACACACACACACAAACACACACACACACACACTAGTTGTGTAAATGGAAATATAAACACCTAGGTTTTTTGGTTGTCGACAGTAAACATGACATAACGCTCAAAATATCACAAATTACCCATCATGCCTAGCTGTCTAGAGCAGAAGTACCATATGTAGCTCACAGACCATGCTCAGTAGAATGAGTGGGGAGAGAAAATAATTCTGGTTTCGGCTTTTAGAGCATTTTACAACTTTTAGACCATAATGATTCAAATAAGAGCTATAAAAGTGTTCGTGCTGGATAGTTAATTTAGGTTTAAAAAGAAGTATCCGCTGATTTACAGACGTCTCTTTTCAAATATAAGTCAATGGTAAAAAGCATTTTTGGACCCAGTGATGTCACGGACTGACACGGAAGGTGTAGTACTGCCTTTTGGCCACTATGCATTTTGCCTCAGCGAACTTCCTGGGGGTTTCGTTTCTTGCAGCAAATTCTTTTCTCCACCATTATTTAGTTCTATTGTTGTGGGCCAACTTCAGAGGGGCTTAGTGCAAAATCTGGTTTATGCTTTTCTCAAGTTTCTGCTGTTAAAAATGTTTCTGTGTGAGACTTGGGTAATTCATCCTTTAATATTTCCATCTGTCGACATTCAGCCGACAAAAGTGGAACATTTCCAATTGCCTTTATCCTACACAAACCAGAATGTAGTCACTAAAAGATTGGGATGTGTTAGTCGTGAAAAGTCACTATCAACATGCTTTATTCTGCTAAGTAATGAGAAATATAGCCTTTGTGAAATAGGGAGAAAACTGAAGAATAATGTACTTTTGTGTTTAACACATTTTAGTTTCAAGATGTATTTAAGGAATCAGAATCAGAATTCCTTTACTCATCCCTACAGTGGGGGAATGTACTATTATATATATATATTATATATCAACAGCTGTAGGCAGAGATGGTCCGTCTGAGAGGAGGACTCATCCTGACCAGGCTGGGAGGGGGGGGGGGGGGTCTCTGCCTCTCCCTTCTTCTGTCGTCTCTTTCTCTGTTTTCTCTGTCTGTGATTGACAGCGGCTGAAGACTAAACAGAGTCTCTGGGCTAGCCTGTGAGCAGTTAGTGGGTGGGCCACTCTCACGGGCAAACAATAGCAAGTACTTACTTTCTCTCTGGGTCACTCTCTATTATAGACACACACTTTGTAGAAATGATCTGTCTTGTGTGCAGCCCTAGCTCATCATTCAGCTGCTGTATGTTTTTCATGATCCCGACACATTCTCAAAGGTCTGTGTGGTTTGATGAAGGCTGGTTGACCTCCAGGCTCAGACACCAGGCAGAGGCTTCCACACAATAGTTTGTAGATGGCCAGTAAAAGTGGCGCCTGGCACTTTGGTTACTTAGCAGCTTGCAATGTGTAGCATTTACCACAGCATGTGTTGGCAGTGGGGTTATTTTTGAATGGGAAAACTATGCTTAGCCTCACTGTGTAAATCAGATCCTATTTCCAAGGATCTGACAGTGAGATGACATGTGTTAAGTGAGGTGCAGGTAAGGTCAGTGTGATGATCTTCATAGTGTCTAATAAATACAGAATGCTGCTTTGTTTTGCAGCCTGTGTGTTATGGGTTTGGTTGACATTCATTGCTCTGAAAACGTCTCTCTGATAGTGACTGACTGTGTGCCAGTCCCTCACATGAGTATTTCAGATAGAAGTAGATAACAGAGTGATCCTCGGTGGCCTCTCTGCCGATGTTTATTTTCCTGCATGTCCCTGCAGAGAAGCTGCAGTTCAGATCCTCCTCTTCTTAGCAGCCAGGAGGACAGACCGTCTGATGGGGGCAGAACCCCCAGCCTTGAGGCCGTCAGTCATCGCAGGGTGCTGGTGTTTATTTGCAGGAGGCTCTGGGCTTTAATCCCTGTTTTCCCAACGCTGCAACTAAAGCATATTAAGTAACACATGGCCAGTGCATTTCCACATGAAGCCCTTTTAATTGTTGGTTGCTGGATGCTCCGTTAACGAAGCCCTGAATGCCAGAGGCTGTCTGAGCTAAGCTCCTGTGTTGAGATGCATTGACTGACACAATGATGGTGGAGAAATGACAGTGTATTTGCCCCCAGAAGAATGGAAGTTATTTGAATAAAGCTTCTGAATAAAGGATGAATATTCCAACTCATATTCTGAACTCATATTCTCTTTTACAGCAATTTAGGAAAAATCTGAAGGGAGTTAATGGAAACAAAGACTTTGACCAGGACATGTTGGAGGATATCTACAATGCTATCAAGTAAGCTGACACACCCCTATACATGTTTTTATATTATATATAAAACATAGGCTTTTTTGTAAGAGCCTTTATCATTCTGCTTTGGAGATAACAGCTGAGGTGTTTTTCCTCCGTAGGAATGAGGAGATTGTGATGCCTGATGAGCAGTCGGGGTTAGTGAAGGATAACTATGTATGGAGTGTGTTGCTACACCGAGGCGCCACACCTGAGGGTATTTTCCTCCACCTGCCTGCTGGCAGCTACGACCATGACTTGTTTACCATGACCTGGGGTCCTACCATCGCTGCCCTCTCCTACGTCTTCGACAAGAGCCTGGACGAGAACATCATCCAGAAGGCCATCACTGGCTTCAGGTATGCTACTTTACAGAGCCAGCAGCTATGTGGCGGGACAGGGAAAACTGTGTTCTGGCTGTTTATCAAAAGCACATTGTTCTAAGGCCACAGGAATTCAAGCTCTGATTCACATTTGAAAGCGTCCAAATACCTTTAATGAAGACCCAATGTACTCACAAGTCTCTGGGGTTTATTCATGTAAATAACACAGATTCCAAATCCTTACTTAAAGACGCGTTTAAACTGGATACAGTCAAATAAACACAAGTACTATCACCCTATCAAGGGTCGAAAGCGGACTTTTTCGTTCCACGCTTGCAGATATCCATTGTCTCAGCTTTTTCAACTCTTGGCCCCGCGCACTGAAGTCTGCTTTACGGCATAAAAGTAGGTCGTAAACAGTTATACAAATAAAACTTTGCACAGTCCATGAAACGTAGATGCATACAAAACAATACCAAAACATTATTATTATAAATCATGATTATTACATTCATTTAAATTAAATTCAAAGAATATACAACTATCTTGTCAACATCAATATTTACCATACGTAATTATACGCCTGAATGGCTCTCACACACAGAATTGTAATATTTGGGCCGCTGTTGATCAGGAGGTAGAGCAATTACATCCCCGGCTCCTACTGTCACAAGTCGTGTTACATTAATACTCAAGTATCTAAAGAAATCGACACGAAAAAGACACCTATGCAGTTGTTAGAAACTACGTGTCTTTCCACAAAGGCTGGTTTGAACAGTTTAGCACTTTCTTGAGGGAGCGAGTCACTGGAAGACTCTCCCTGCTTACTGGTGCTCTGAGGAGGGAGCCTCTGAGATTTATGTTGTGCGAACTGGAATGAAAAGTATCTACTCATATACCACAGTAGACCAACCGCTGTCACCCTCAGATTGCCATGTGTTCTGGGTGGTTTTTAGGTGGGTTTTATGCTGTAATCATATGTGTTTCTGTCCTTGCAGGAAATGTGCAATGATAGCGGCTCACTATGGCTTCAGTGATGTTTTCGACAATTTGATCATCTCCCTCTGCAAGTTCACCACCCTGAGCAGTGAGGTGAGCCTCTCCCAGAATCCTGTGTGCTCCACTGTTTCAGCACTGCAGGGTGTGGACACAACACTTCAGTTTGCACTTAAAGCTGACATTATTCACATGTCAACAAAGTGCAGTCAAAAGTATATTGTTCACATCAATTACAAATTAAGAACCTGTCCTGAACTACATCGAGACATTGGTAAGAATTGTTCGCTGCCAGAGTTTGTGATCATGAATTGCTTTGCTCCTATCTCTGGAAATCTGATATTGATAACTTATTGTCTTTTAATTTAATTACTTTTTTTGTTATTTATCAGTGCTGCACATATTTAATGTCAGCTCAAAAATAGACTTATAGAAGTATTTTATATATAAAAGGCATGTTTAAATAACATTTTATAAATGTTTTATTCCTAAAGCCAATCCCTAGCTGAGTGGAGCAAAACATTGTCACATATCCTCTGGAAACTACGACACAACAACGTCAAAAGAAAAAGAAAACAACACATATCCATAAATCCACATCTTAATGTAGGAATATCTATATAATAGCAATGCACAAACAAGAAACTGTTGGATGTCCTATATGGAAGCAAGGTATCATTTGGGCAGGAAGAGCAGATGCAGTGTCTGTATGAGCATGTCTGTTGACTGAGGACTGTGTCCTCTCCCTGTGCAGTCTGTGGAGAACCTCCCCACAGTGTTCGGCAGTAACAACAAGGCCCAGACGGCAGCCAAGACGGTGTTTGACCTCGCCCATCGGCACGGCAACATCCTGAGGGAGGGCTGGAAGAACATCATGGACTCCATGCTCCAGCTGTTCAGAGCCGAGCTGCTGCCCAAAGCCATGGTGGAGGTCAGTACTAAACACTGTTTCCCTCTGTCAGTGTGCTGGGGTGTGAAGAAACACCCTACATAACAAAATAAATGAAACCCTCTGGAGAGCTGTGATAGGCTGTTTGTTTTCTCATAGCATATTCAAGTATCAAGAATAATTTAGTTAACTAATTTTGATTTAGCTAACTTATAACTTCACTTATGAGGCAATTTACCTCACCTCTAGTGAGGGGCCCCGCCCTTGTATGTTCTTCTGTATGTGGCCCTCAGTGAAAAGAATGTGGACGCCCCTGTCCTAAATGTTCTGCTGCCATCTACTGGTCACTGCTCAACACTGTGCTTCTTGCCTCAGGTGGAGGATTTTGTGGAGCCCAATGGGAAAATCTCTCTTCAAAGAGAAGAAACGCCTTCAAATCGGTATGCGCATGTCTCACCCAAGTTCATAAGAATATGTTTTCATGCTATCACAGTATGATATGTTTCAAGGTATACTGCCCTTGACATTAAGAACAAATTGTTCTTAAATCTCAATCTTTACATGTATGGCAGCCATTCCATTCGAGTGTTTGTTGAATTCCAACACAGAGAAATGTTGTCAGTAGTTTATAGAATCAAATACAATCTTTTTTATTGTACTCAAACACATACCTACTGTATAAATAGTGAAACCAGAGAAACTGATAATGCTGCAGTGGTCCATTCATTTTTTCCAGAGCTGTAACTAAAGTTATGTGTTTCTTTATCGCTCCAGCCTTTGAAATGTTTTCATTTAGTACTCTTTGATTCCTAGAAACAGAGACCAGCTTTTTATAATAAGGAACAATGTATTCCATAATACAATCTGGACTAGCGGCAAAAGTGTAAACCTAAAAGTGTGATCTGTTTGTCAGTGGTGAGTCGGCGGTGCTGAGTTTTGTCAACTGGTTGACTCTGAGTGGAGCCGAGCAGTCAGGACTGAGAGGGCCGTCCACGGAGAACCAGGAGGCCAAGCAGGCCGCCCTGCTCTGCATCAAGGTGCTGTGCAGTACAACATGTGTTATTAGGGTGGTCCTTATTGCCATGTACATTTTCAAATTCATTTATTTTAAGCTCCAACCTCCGGAATTTGTTATGATAGTCAAGAAAACTCTCCTGGTGAATTTTATTCAAATTCCAACAACATTTACCCCTCCCTCATCAACCTTGAAGTTTAGCCTCACGTAGGGTGGTCCTTCAAATTGAAAGTCGGAAAGTCTAAGCTCCATCCCCCAGAATTCATTCTATTAGTCAAGAAAACTCTCCTGGTGAATGTTTTCCTCAATCTGACAACATGGACCCCCCCCTCATGGACCTGGGCTGCCACACCAGCAGCACAGTGCTGCAACTGAGGCTAAACTCACCAGGAGACTTTTCTTGACTAATAGAATGAATTCTGTTGGTTGAAGCTTAGACTTTCCGACTTTCAATTTGAAGGACCACCGTAATGTGTTATACCAAGGCAAAGAAATACAAATAAAGGATGTATTTTAATGCCATAGATAGTTATTATTATGTTTTTGTGCTGATACGTCAATGTTTCTTGCTGCATGATCACTGTGAGATAAATGCATCTCCAGTTCCTTTTCTTCTCTCTTTATCTCGTGGTCATCAGTCTGTCTATGAATAGTTTTTAAACTTCTGGCTAATGCCTTAAATATTCTTTGTTTTAATGACTGCATTGTTTGTTCCATGACATCACTCATTCATGTAGCTTTCGCCGTATTAATATGACATGTCTTGTTTTTTGTCTTTCCAGCAATGTGACCCAGAAAAGCTGATCACAGAGAGCAAATTTCTACAGCTGGAGTCTCTACAGGAGCTAATGAAGGTTATTCATATTTATTTTCAACCTATATGTATTACATCGATGTCTTGCTCTGTAATTGATCATAACTGATGGGGTAGAAGTATTTACTCAAGGTGCTTAGGAATGTTTATTCATAAAGACAAACCACATTCCTCTCTTCAGGCTCTGATATCAGTCACCCCAGATGAAGAGACCTATGATGAAGAGGATGCTGCCTTCTGCTTGGAGATGCTGCTGCGAATCATCCTGGAGAACCGGTAGGAAGGACGCTCAGTCAGCCACAGCTTTACAGCTCAGTTACATCTTATAACTACAGTCGTGTGTGTGTGTGTGTGTGTGTGTGTGTGTGTGTGTGTGTGTGTGTGTGTGTGTGTGTGTGTTGTGTGTTGTGTGTGTGTGTGTGTGTGTGTGTGTGTGTGTGTGTGTGGTGTGTGTGTGTGTGTGTGTGTGTGTGTGTGTGTGTGTGTGTGTGTGTGTGTGTGTGTGTGTGTGTGTGTGTGTGTGTGTGTGTGTGTGTGTGTGTGTGTGTGTGTGTGTGTGTGTGTGTGTGTGTGTGTGTGTGTGTGTGTGTGTGTGTGTTGTGTGTGTGTGTGTGTGTGTGTGTGTGTGTGTGTGTGTGTGTGTGTATAGAGACCGTGTGTCATGTGTGTGGCAGACAGTGCGGGACCATCTCTGCCATCTCTGTGTTCACCCCAACGAGAGCTGCTTCCTGGTGGAGAGGGCCGTGGTGGGACTCCTCCGCCTCGCTATCCGCCTGCTGCGGCGTGAAGACATTAGCTCTCAGGTACACACACACACACACACATGGACCCACACACTGCAGCAGCAGGGTTGGTGTGATGTTACAGGCTAAGATAATCATCTCAGGTCAGCACACTGAAAGGTCAGCTCAAATCCAAACAGCTGATGCTGCTCCACAGACATGTGTCTTTTCATGTCCTTGACCAGCAGGTCTTAAAGACACCGTCTGTCTGAAATCTGTCTTTAAACATAAATCATGCTGCATCTGGAGCTGGCTTTTATATAGATGCTTTGTATTTTCCAAAAGGCCTTTAATCTATGATATGTTAGTTACTGATTCATCTGTGTATTACTGTCTAGATGAATTATTCCGTCTTTAAAACATCTGAAAAATGGTCCATCACAGTTCCTAAAAGTCTTTACATGTTGTGTTTTGTCAGTGCAAATTGAAAAGGATATTCACTTAAATATGATCTGAATATGTGTGAATCTGAAAGAGCATTCACTGCGGTTCATCTTTAATTCATGTAATTCAGTAAACTTCAAACAACTCGGGTACACATACTTCCTAACGAGCTTTCACAAAGATGTGCTTGGTGAGTAATATGCTGCCAAAGAGTATAGAGCAGTATTCATTCATGGAACACTGGAACACATGCAACCCATGTACACAGACAAACCAAAGCATCCATCCGCCTCAAATACTCACTGGAGTATATTTGTATTGACTTGCACTATTTCTTCTGTTTTTATGTTTTTATTGTGTTGCACTGTTGGAGGAGCCTGTGACATAAGATGTTCATCATCATAACTACACTGTAGCTGTGTACGTATGACTAATAAAAGCCTTGAACCTTGAATGAGAAAAGAACAGTTTACAGTAAGATAAATCCGCCAGCCTGTTCCTCTTTAATGCTTTCATGGCACAACAAATATAAATGGGACACAACATGTAGGGTCAGTGATCTGCTTGATCTGAAGACTCTTTCACCAGGGTACCAGAGCTCATCTGACATCCAGTCATGTGTGACAGGTGGCCACTGACAATAGGGATGAGTCATGTTATCATGTCAGCGCTGATGACCTACAGTATACTACAGTAAGGTTCACAGGTGGACTGCAGGTGTTTATGTTTTGTGTCAAACCTACTTTTCAATGTGACCACTGTCTGAACACTAATATCATCAGCAGTCCTGTATTGTGTCCAAACAAAGACTCTGTGACATGTGTACTGATAAGAAGGTAATTTAATGCTGACCTGACCTCTTACTAGGAGGGTGACCTACATTTAAACCCCCTGATTTAATACTGAGCAATCAGCATTGCATGTCTTGTATGTGTGTTGGTCTGTGTATATGTACAAATACACAGTTTGAACTCTGAATACAGCATTCAATATATTTCAATGACTTGAAGTTCATTTAAAATACTCCATACTATCCTCTAAACATCTTACCTGTTTAAATAGTTTTTTGGATAGATTTCATAATTAAATGTTGACTTATAACATTGGAATAATTCCAATGTTTGTGGCTGTTTAAAATGAATTGAGTAATAAAGAAAACATGTAGAGGAGGACATTTGACTACAAATGTTTGTACAGTTTGTGACCTTTTGACAAAGTGATGTTGGAATCATAACATATCAGTAACATTTGAAATTGAGGCTCTGTATCAGCGTGGTGAGGGATTGTTGTTGCAGCAGCTGTTTTTCAGCCATGATGATCCACTACTTCAGATCAAATATAAGCAGCTACAGTAGGAAGAGAACTTTACTTTTGAAGTGATCCGCAAAGTAGTACTTTAGTCAAAATCATTGAAAATCCTGTATTTGACCTAAAGTAATTATATTGCATATGTTACCCCCTGATGGTCTCTCCATGTGCCCCGCAGGTCCTCCACTCACTGCGCCTCCTGCTGATGATGAAGCCTCACGTCCTGTCCCGGGTCAGCAGGGAGGTGGCCTATGGCCTCCATGAGCTACTGAAGACTAACGCAGCCAACATCCACTGCACCAACGACTGGTTCACACTCTTCTCCCTGCTGGAGTGCATCGGAGCTGGAGTCAAACCTCCTGCCTCCTTCCAGCTCTCCTCCACCCACAGCGACCACGACGCAGGTATATGTCTCTCCACATCTCAACAAAAACATCGAATAAAACGTGTTACACTGATGAACACAATTTTTATTACGCATTCTTTGGCACCATTAATACTTCTTAAACTTAAAGCCAATCATTTTAATAATGTTATTGGACTACAGACATTTCCCTCGGACTGATTGAGTTTACAATAAGCAGCCGTTAATCCCTAAAAGAAGTTCAAAGCACAGTACTAGCATATGTATGCTAAACCTCATTGGTTGGTAAATGGATTAAAAAAACATTGAAAATATGAAATAAGATGATGCAACCCTTAAACGGTTTCTGTATCCTAAGAAGCAGTCATTTCACAAGCTCCATGTGTATAACATGGGTGTAATACAGATGTAATAGTGGTGTAATAACCCTGTAATATGGATGTAACATGGTTGTAATAATGGATTGATATGGTTGTAACAATAGGGATGTATTTATGTGTAATATTAGTGTGATAACAGCCTAATATAAGTGTAATGTAGAAAACAGCATTCAGTTTATTTTCCCAAAAAGTATATTTGATTTCCTATTTAAGGGTTTAAGAGATTGTCCCAACATGTTTTGTTTGTGAACCCATAAAGGCTGTGGATTATCCATTAAACAAAGATACCTTGTTATTTTGTTCACCCAGTGAAATTCAAATACAAATGTATTGTCCTGTGTGTGTGCAGGGGCGCAGTCGGACAGCGAGCTGGCGTCTCATCATGTCAGCGAAGTGGACTCAGAGCGCGGCTACACCTCAGACTCAGGAGTCTACACGGAGCACAGCAAGACCAGGGTGCCTCGCTCTGCCACAGACCTGGATGTAGCAAGCAGCGGCTGGCTCCTGGTACACACACACTCACTCACTCACTCACACACACATACACACACACACGAACAAACTCACTCTCAGACACACACACACACAAACTCACACACATGAGCTCACACACACACACACATGAGCTCACACTCACACACACACATACACTCACACACACACACTCACACACACATACTCACACACACACACACACACACACACACACACACACACACACACACACACGTAACAATGTCACCTTAGAAAAGAAGAAACCAAGATACTTCATATAAAAAATGTAGTTGGAGTAAAGTTTACAAATGCTGTATAAACGTAATACATTAATTAAAAGCATAGACTGTTTCATAAATCAGGTGTCCAGCTACTGCTGTTAATTTATATTTCTGTGGTCTGTATTTGTTTCAGGTTGGGAAAGATGACACTGCAGTGAACTCTAAAGCTCAGCTCAATAACCCCCTGGTCAACCAGTACAGTCTGACTCTGGGTCAGGACCTGGGCCAGCATGACACCAAGTCTCTCATCAAGTGTGTGGAGACGCTGTCCTTCATCGTCCGTGACGCAGCCCATGTCACCCCTGATAACTTTGAGCTGTGTGTCCGCGCTATACGAGTGTTTGTGGAGGCCAGTCTCAACGGAGGTGAGACATTGAACTACATTTGAAATGTCACGGGAGCTAAAAGAAGGCACTCGGATAAAGATATAAAAGTACCCAGACATGATTACAAATAGATAGTAACTGGATAGTGTTACAGCTTGTGAGCAGAAGCTTCAATAGGTCCTCCATGTGAGGCACCATTTTGCTTCACTCATTACAGGGTGATTTAGTACTGCACATCCGTGAAGCTGGGGGATTTGTGAGACAGGCTCATAATGATATTGGTCTAATCCGTCAGCAGAGGCAGAGACTCCATGTCCCCACCTTGTAATGCAGGCTTTCCATTAAGTATGTGAAGTGTCAGAGCAAACAGACAAGGGCTGGGATTCAAATTCATCTTATTGACTGGGTATTAGTTATTTAGAGAAAAGTTAGATAGTCTTTTAGAAAGAATTTTATTTGGCTTATCTGAGTGTTAACCTAAATATCCAGTATATGGCAGGTACTTCTGCACAAATTCACCAGTCTTGCATTTACACACCCCAATAACTTTAAGAGAAAGGATGTTTTATGAATCAAATGTTGTATCAGTGTGTAGAAATCATTTGACTGAAATACAAGTACAAAATCGTACATCCTGTTTACAGCAGCAGCCATGTGTCTTCAGTCTGCCTGTCTTCTCCCCCCCAGCCCCCCCACCTCAGTGTCCTGCCCTACATTCCTCACCCTCTCTCAGCTCTTTAACATCCTTGTCATCTGCCCCTAAAACCTTTTCCTCCCCTGTTTCCATTCATCCCTGCCTGTGCTGTTGTGATCTACAGCAGTGATTGTCAAACTTTTTTCAATAATGTACCCCCTTTGAAAAAAAAAATCAGCCAAGTACCCCCTGATCAGCACAACAACTATTTGTTAGGGAAGAAATGCCTATATAAAGAGGTACAGCACAGTGCTTGTCTGATTTATTAAAACAACAACCTTGTAACTGAGAAACACTTAAATGCTACATTTCAAATGTTTACAATCCATCACTAAATTCATGGAAAACCAATTTTAACATCATGCAATAACACTGAGACGACATTATTGCATTGAACTGATCTTTTTAATAAGTTGTACTTACAATTTAGTGAGAAACATGGGCTTGTGCTTCACTGAGGATCTTTGTCATTCTCAGTGACAGGGAGGCCACTGCAGTTATTATACTTCGCGTTTTGAAATATGTGTAACTCTGTTAATATAAAACCCACACTGCTCAAACTTCCTTACTTTTCCTAAAATTGGTATTTTTTTTTCTTTTTCATTAACATAAAAATAAATCGTACGTACCCCCTGCAGTACTCCAACGTACCCCTAGGGGTCCGCGTACCCCCATTTGAGAACCACTGATCTACAGTATGACAGGGATTAGGCTTGAGAAATGGCTGTGGTGCACTTGAGCTGATGGCCTATTCATTTTCTCCCTCCAGGCCATTAGATACACGCTGTCAACAGAGCTTTACGCAGACAACAAAAGCGATGGGTCGATCAAAGCACTGGGCTGAGGCACGGTGCTAATCTGTATGAGATACTAATAGAAAGTGCAACACCTGCTATTACTCCTTTCCATTGAAGGTGGTTTCAATATAACTGGAAGGTTTGTTTTGGAAATGGCCCATAGCTCTGTGGTTGTTTTGAGGATCACTTTGGGTGTGATGAGGTCATGAAAGAAATTTGTTTGCATGAAAGAGCATTTAAAACTTGGGTGTGTGCAACGGCTGCATTCCAGTAACAATGGCTTGTAGTGAACATATTGAGTTTGATGTTTGTCACCGAGTCTTTGCAGTGTCTTCAGAATCCGATCCACTCTCTGGCCTAATACACCTGTAGTGTGACTATCAATCAATCAATCAATGTTTATTTATATAGCCCAATATCACAAATGTTACATTTGTCTCAGTGGACTTTACAGTTTGTACAAAATATCAGTATGACAATACGACACCCTCTGTCCTTAGACCCTCACATCGTACAAGGAAAAACTTCCGAAGAAAACCCACAGTTTAAAGGGGAACATGGGAGAAACCTCAGGGAGAGCAACAGAGGAGGGATCTCTCTCCCAGGACGGACAGACGTGCAATAGATGCCGTGTGTAAATTGAAAAGATAATACATTTGCAACATAGGTAGTCCAAATGTTTGGAAATGCATGTGTGTATAATAGGAAGATGAATCCACGACGATATCCATCCAGGACCTATGATCCAGGACCACAGCCACGACTCAAGATCCAGGACAGAGGAGCGCAGGATCATCCATGACTCCGGATCCCAGCGTATATAGACACCAAAAAGAAAGACATTTGGGGAAGCTGGGTTAATCGGAACATGAGAGTACACAGGTATAGACAGAGAGAAGGAAGAAGTAAGATGTCCCCCGACAAACTAAGCCTATGTCAGCAAAACTAGGGGCTGAATCTAATCAGCCCTAACTATAAGCTTTATCAAAAAGGAAGGTCTTAAGCGCACTCTTAAAAACGGATTGGGTGTCTGCCGCCCGAACACAAACTGGAAGCTGATTCCACAAATGTGGAGCTTGATAAGAAAAGGCTCTGGCTCCCATTGTACTTTTAGAGACTCTAGGAACAACCAACAACCCTGCATTCTTGGAACGCAATGCCCTAGTAGGACAGTAGGGTATAATGAGTTCTTTAAGGTAAGATGGCGCCTGCCCATTAAGGGCTTTGTAGGCGAGAAGAATAATTTTAAATTCTATCCTGTGTTCTATAGGGAGCCAGTGTAAGGCAGCCAGAACAGGAGTAATGTGGTCCCTTTTCCTAACTCTGGTTAGTACACGAGCTGCAGCATTTTGAATCAGCTGAAGCGACTTGACTGACTTCTTGGTACACCCTGATAATAAAGAGTTACAATAATCCAGCCTTGAAGTAACAAATGCATGGACTAGTTTCTCTGCATCGTTTTGAGGCAAGATATGCCTGATTTTTGCAATGTTACGTAGATGGAAGTAGGCGGTCCTTGAAATTGATTTTATGTGGGCGTTAAAGGATAAATCCTGATCAAATATAACACCAATATTCCTTACAGTCTCACTGGAGGCCAAATTAATGCCATCCATAGTTAATATATCCTTAGATAATTTGTTTCGTAGATTCTTCCGGCCAAGTACAATAACTTCAGTTTTGGTCGTGTTTAACATCAAAAAGTTTAAGGTCATCCACATTTTTAAGTCCTTGAGGCAGTCTTGCATTTTATTTAGATGATTAATTTCATCAGGCTTGATTGATAAATATAGTTGAGTATCATCCGCATAACAATGAAAATGTACAGAATGATTCCTTATAATATTGCCTAACGGAAGCATATATAATGTGAACAAAATAGGTCCGAGCACTGAGCCCTGTGGCACTCCATGGCTAACTTTGGTTTGCGTGGAAGATTCATCATTGACACGTACAAACTGAGAGCGTTCAGATAGATAGGACCTAAACCAGCCTAAAGCAGTTCCCTGTATGCCAACTAAGTGCTCTAGTCTTTGCAATAGGATATCATGGTCGATAGTATCAAATGCAGCACTGAGATCGAGCAAAACAAGAATAGAGACACGTCCCTTGTCAGAGGCTATTAGAATGTCATTTGTGACTTTAACCAGAGCTGTCTCTGTGCTATGATGTGTTCTAAAGCCAGACTGAAAATCTTCAAATAAATCATTGTTTTTTAAGTAATCACACAGCTGTTTTGCGACTGCTTTCTCAAGAATTTTTGAGAGGAACGGAAGATTGGAAATAGGTCTATAATTGGCTAAAACCTCTGGATCGAGGTTGTGCTTTTTAAGAAGCGGTTTTATCACTGCTACTTTGAATGATTGTGGAACATAGCCTGATAATAAAGACATATTCATAATATTTAATAAAGAAGTGCTAATTAATGGAAAAACTTCCTTCAACAGCTTAGTTGGAATTGGGTCTAACATGCACGTTGATGGTTTAGAAGAGAGAATCATTTAATTTAATTGTTCAAGGTTTATGGCTGAAAAGCATTCTAGTTTACTATCTAGTGTAATATTAGAACTTACGTTTCCGGGAGCTGTTGATAACACTATACTGGTCAAAGGCAAGAGGTCATTAATTTGTTTCCAAGAGTAACAATTTTATCATTAAAAAAGCACATAAAATCATTACTACTGAGTGCTATGGGAATAGAAGGCTCAATCGAGCTGTGGCTTTCTGTCAGCCTGGCTACAGTGCTGAAAAGAAATCTTGCATTATTCTTATTCTCATCTATTAATGAAGAGTAGTAGGCTGCTCTCGCTTTACGCAGTGCTTTCTTATATTCATTGAGAGTAATATGCCAAATTAAACGAGATTCTTCAAGTTTAGTGGAACGCCATATCCTTTCAAGTTGTCTCGACTTTTGCTTTATTTTGCGGGTTTCGGCATTATGCCATGGAGCTAATCTATGTTGTTTTATTTTCTTCTTTTTCAAAGGAGCAACAGAGTGTAATTTTATTCGCAGCGCATCTGTAGCACTATCAACAACATGATCAATTTGGGGTGGTGTACATTTTGTATAAGTTTCCTCCCTTACATGCAGACATGCTATCGAGTTAAGTATTGGTGGAATCTCTTCCTTAAATTTGGCTATAGCACTAACAGATAGGTTTCTGCTGCAGGAGCTTTTGACTAATGCTTTGTAGTCTCGTAACAGTACTTCAAAAGTTACTAAGAAATGGTCGGATAAAGCAGGATTATGCGGTTCGACTAATAGTTGCTCAATTTCAATACCATAAGTCAGAACAAGGTCGAGAATGTGATTATAGCAGTGGGTTGGTTTATTTACACTCTGACAAAAACCAACAGAATCTAATATAGAGTTAAATGCAACAGTAAGGCTATTTTTATCATCGTCAACATGAATATTAAAGTCACCTAAGATAATTACTTTATCTGTTTTAAGTACCAAAGTTGTAACAAATAAGATTGGCTGCAAAGTTTTCCAGGTCGGATGCGTAAGACTAAAAACGAGACTTTCAAAGGAGGTATAATTTAATTTTGGTTTAGTATTGATAAGTAAACTTGAGTCAAAGATTGCTGCAACTCCACCTCCTCGGCCCGTGCCTCGGGCAATATGAGTATTGATATGGCTGGGTGGAGTGGCCTCATTTATGCTGACATATTCTTCATGTCTCAACCAAGTTTCAGTGAGACAGCATATATCAATATTATAATCTGATATTAAATAATTTACCAATATTGCTTTAGATGCTAGAGATCTTATGTTTAAGAGACCACATTTAATATTCCTGTTTTGTTGCACTGTAGTAGTTGTTACATTTACTTTTATTAGGTTATTATGTATGTATGTACACACACCTCTATTAGGTTTTACCTTAAATTGTCCTTGGGCAGACACACACACCGCTAATATTGGGTATTTTATTGGGTTCGGGATTCCTATGGATGACTGCCTAGGAGAGAGCGCAGAGAAGCGTGTAAGACTGCGACTCCGCCTCCTGGTCTCAACTCCAGTTTGTCATGGATTAAGTCCACAAAGCCCTGAAATGTTTGCCGAAATGAGATTTGCACCTTCCAAAGTAGGATGAATGCCGTCTCTCTTAATCAGACCAGGTTTTCCCCAGAAGGCTGTCCAATTATTTACGAAGCCCACATTGTTTGCTGGGCACCACCAAGACAACCAGCGCTGAAATGATGACATGCAGCTATACATGTCATCATTGATCAGATTGGGGAGGGGACCAGAGAAGATTACGGTGTCCGACATTGTTTTAGCATAACTACACACCGACTCCACATTAAGTTTGGTGCATTCTGATTGGCGTATACGAACATCATTACCACCGACGTGAATAACAATCCTACTGTATTTACGTTTATTTTTAGCCAGCAGTTTAAGATGCGCCTCAACGTCGCCCGCTCTGGCCCCCGGAATGCATGTGACTGTGGAGGCTTCGGTCTCTAATTTCACGTGTCTCATAATAGAGCTACCAATAACCAGAGTTGGCTTCTCAGCGGGTGTCTCGCTGAGTGGGGAATATCTGTTAGATACGTGAACGGGTTGGTGGGGACCTGCGGGTTTCGCGTTATGCCCCTTCTGAACAGTCACCCAGTCTCCCTGCTGCTCGGGAGTTGCCGGGGGACGGCTAATAGGAGCTACCTTTTGCTGGTCCGCACTGGCTAACATGGGCTTTACTGTAGCTGAGTTACTTTCTAAGATGCGGAACCGGGCTTCTATGGCTATGATTCCCGCCTCCAACCTAACAACTATACTACATTTAACACATGTACCGGTACCAGTAAAGGAGGCAGGGAAATAACCAAACATGAGACAGTTAGAGCAGGAAATAGCACCCGAGGGTGGGGAAAGAGCCATGGCTAGCTATCAAGCTAAAGTAGCTACCGTTAGCAAACCCGAAAAGAGTGTAGGCAACTGTGGAGTTACAGTCGCTAAGAGAAGGAGAGTTGTGAGTGCTTAAGCAATAGTAACGTGTGATTACAACGTCAGGCAGTTGCCGTGATCAAGAGTTTTAAAACGATCGATTAAGTTAAGATAATAAGCTATCAGCAACAGAACAGGCACACGGGATACCCGGAGATGACAACAACCGGAAGTTACAACATGCTTACCGTAATAGTGGTCCGTGTAGAAAACAGATGTAACGCAGTACACCTATAGGTCTGCTTCACACAGCAGCACCGTAGGCAGGCCCATCATGGTTTTTTTTCCATTAGCTCAATCAATCAATCAATCATTGTTTTTATATAGCCCAATATCACACATTTTACACTGAACAAAAATATAAATGCAACACTTTTGTTTTTGCTCCCATTTTTCATGAGATGAACTCAAAGATCTAAAACATTTTCTATATACACAAAATAATATTGTTCACAAATCTGAACAAATCTGTGATAGTGAGCACTTCTCCTTTGCCGAGATAATCCATCCCACCTCACAGGTGTGGCATATCAAGATGCTGATTAGACAGCATGATTATTGCACAGGTCTGCCTTAGGCTGGCCACAATAAAAGGCCACTCTAAAAATGTTCAGTTTTATCACACAGCACAATGCCAAAGATGTCGCAAGTTTTGAGGGAGCGTGCAATTGGCATGCTGATAGCAGGAATGTCCACCAGAGCTGTTGCCCGTGAATTGAATGTTCATTTCTCTACAATAAGCCGTCTCCAAAGGCGTTTTAGAGAATTTGGCAGTCCATCCAAACGGCCTCACAACCGCAGACCACGTGTAACCACACCAGCCCAGGACCTCCACATCCAGCATGTTCACCTCCAAGATCGTCTGAGACCAGCCACTCGGACAGCTGCTGCAACAATCGGTTTGCATAACCAAAGAATTTCTGCACAAACTGTCAGAAACCGTCTCAGGGAAGCTCATCTGCATGCTCGTCGTCCTCATCGGGGTCTCGACCTGACTCCGGTTCGTCGTCGTAACCGACTTGAGTGGGCAAATGCTCACATTCGATGGCGTCTGGCACGTTGGAGAGGTGTTCTCTTCACGGATGAATCCCGGTTTTCACTGTTCAGGGCAGATGGCAGACAGCGTGTGTGGCGTTGTGTGGGTGAGCGGTTTTCTGATGTCAATGTTGTGAATCGAGTGGCCCATGGTGGTGGTGGGGTTATGGTATGGGCAGGCGTATGTTATGGACGACGAACACAGATGCATTGTATTGATGGCATTGTGAATGCACAGAGATACCGTGACGAGATCCTGAGGCCCATTGTTGTGCCATTCATCCACGACCATCACCTCATGTTGCAGCATGATAATGCACGGCCCCATGTTGCAAGGATCTGTACACAATTCCTGGAGGCTGAAAACATCCCAGTTCTTGCATGGCCAGCATACTCACCGGACATGTCACCCATTGAGCATGTTTGGGATGCTCTGGATCGGCGTATACGACAGCGTGTTCCAGTTCCTGCCAATATCCAGCAACTTGGCACAGCCATTGAAGAGGAGTGGACCAACATTCCACAGGCCACAATCAACAACCTGATCAACTCTATGCCAAGGAGATGTGTTGCACTGCGTGAGGCAAATGGTGGTCACACCAGATACTGACTGGTTTTCGGACCCCCCCAATAAAGCAAAACTGCACGTTTCAGAGTGGCCTTTTATTGTGGCCAGCCTAAGGCACACCTGTGCAATAATCATGCTGTCTAATCAGCATCTTGATATGCCACACCTGTGAGGTGGGATGGATTATCTCGGCAAAGGAGAAGTGCTCACTATCACAGATTTTTTTCAGATTTGTGAACAATATTTGAGAGAAATGGTTATTTTGTGTATATAGAAAATGTTTTAGATCTTTGAGTTCATCTCATGAAAAATGGGAGCAAAAACAAAAGTGTTGCATTTATATTTTTGTTCAGTGTCCATTTGTCTCAGTGGACTTTACCACTTGTACAGAATATGAATACGACACCCTCTGTCCTTGGACCCTCACATCGGACAAGGAAGAACTTCCAAAGAAACCCCACAGTTAATGGGAAATGGAAGAAACCTCAAGGAGAGCAACAGAGGAGCAATAGATTGTGTGTGTTAATTAAAAAGATAATACATTTAAGACATAGGTACATTAGTGCAGATGCTGGAGAATGCATGTGTCTATACATTTTCAAGGTGTTCTCCAAACTTTGATGGGATGAGTGTGACCTTCACTCAAAAAATAACTTAGCTGCCATCACAGAAATGCATTAAAGCTTCTGCAGGTCTATTGGAGTGTGTTTCCTCTTTGCTCAGCATACCTCAACTCACCTGAACATCTTTGGGAAGACTTGAAATCAGAAGAGATGAGTCAGGCGCTTTTGGAATGCTAGAAAAACGTAGAGGTCGGTACCATAGTTATAGCCATCAAACGGCATTCAAGGGTCAGATCCAACCCCCCCCAAGGAAAAGAATCACCTCCTCTGCCTCTAGTTTTATATCCTAAATACTAAAGATCTGTATCTCATTTGATTATTTGCTCCCTTAGGTTACCGCAACCACGACAAGAAGAAGAGCCACAAGTACGACTCGTCCAAATCCCGGATGAGGAAGAAGGCAGGGGGGAGAGACAAGGAGGGGGGAGGAGGCACGAGGCGAGGGGGCAGCCGGGTGTCCAGCCAGCGTCCATCACGTTCCCATAGCGACGAGGAGGAGGACGAGGGAGTGCCGGCCAGCTACCACACGGTGTCATTACAGGTTAGTCAGGATGTAAGTACCACAGCAGTCTCTACCTTTCAGCCTCTCATGATGGAGGCCCAGCTTCTTGTTTCGGGGGGGGGGGGGGGTTTAGCTTCATTAAGCAGATCTAAAATGATTGATTAAAAGCAGCTCTCTGCTCAGTGGCTTGGTAAACAGAGCTTTTGGTGAATATGGTCGTAGCATCAAGAGGTTTTTGGGAAATCAAAAAGATTTGGCTCACAAATGGTCCTCTACGGCAGGTGTACATGTCTATAATGAAATAATTGAAAATGTTGCATATTTAATCTTTCATTAGAGCTGTCAAAATAGCTTATACAACCATGTCATTATTTGAACGGAGCAATGCACCTGCCTGACAGTATCCCTGTCGTTTCTGGTGTGGTGTTGGGTTGTGTGTGAATGTAAGGCTGGACGATAATACCAGTCAAGAGTATTGTTATCATGTTGCCATTATAATTATTTTCAGACAGTTATTAGTTATAAGGTAATTCATAATTCTGAAAACAGTTTAGAACTGATACGTAACTCTGTATATCTTTACTTTGATACATGCAGTCTTTAATTGATTAGTAGCTAATACATAAAAGGAGTAAAAGGTCAACTGATTGTAAGAAAACACATATAATATGTTCAATGACACAGATGTTTGAAGGGCTTCATAAATCATTGGTGACTGACCCCATGCATGTTTGTGGTAGTAAATGATTAAACCTGAGACTCCATATACAGTACACCTAGTCTTCATGTGTCTCTATACATTTAGACCTAAACTGTAGATCTCTAAAGCCAAACGTGGAGTTATTGTAAACATTGGTGTGTGTGTGTGTATGTTTGGTTCAGCTTCTGGATCTGATGCACACACTGCACACCCGGGCTGCCAGCATCTACAGCTCCTGGGCGGAGGAGCAACGCCACCTGGAGGCGGCCGGCCGAAGGATCGAGGCGGACTCTCAGACTCTGTGGAGCAGCTGCTGGTGCCCGCTGCTGCAAGGTATGCTAACAGGCTACACGCTAACACAGGCTACACGCTAACTGCTTTGGAGCTCCTGGTAATAATACCTCACTGGAGCTGTTAGTGCTCATTTGTTTCAGACTAACAAATATTGCCAGTCTTACAAGGTTTACTGTTTAAGCGTATTTCCTGTTGGGTTGCAGTGATATACTGGTTTAGGGTAAAACCATAGTTTAACTAATTGAAGATTAGCAAACCATGCCCATTTGATTATGTGTTAGATGTACACTGATTGTATATAATAAATAAAGGTTGAATATTAGGTGTGAAAAGGCCAAGATTAGATATGAGACAATTATGAGTATAAAAAACAATATAATAATTAATTTGGCTGATATTTATTTCTTAGCGTTAAGACAACATATTCAACAATTTTTAAAGTAGGTTATTCAAATTGTTTTTGAAGAAGTGTGACTTATATATCTACTATGAAAGAAAATTAATAATAAAAATGGAACTTCTCCGTTCCCTGTGGTTGGTACACTATGTAGTTACTTCTTACTTAACTTAAAGGTGGGGTAGGTCATTTTGGGGTAGGTAGGTAAACCAGCTCGAATGCGCTAGAATTTAAAAATACACAGCTGGAAAAAATCTGCAACTTCCTTACAGAGCCCCTCCTCCAACACACACGAACACGCACATGACCAATGAGGGCACGAGATAAGTTTCAGGGTTCGTACGGGTGGTGGAAATCCTTGAAAATGCTTGAAATTGTACGAGGTGTTTTCAAGGTTTGAAAAGAGCTTGAATTTTGGGAATGGTGCTTGAATTTGGGATAAAGTGCTTGGAATTGTAAATGCTTTACTTCGCTTTTTAGATTAAAAGAAAATAAAGAAGTCTGAGCGAGCTTAATTGCTTCGCTTTTACATAAAACAGCTCTGCTCCGGCCTTCCCGCGCTATGCGCGTGACCTGCAAGTGTTTTTGTTACGTGCGACCTGGGCATTCTGATGAGTGATAGATGACAGTATGCCAGGAGGTTGCCGTTTCAACGAGCGTTGGCTAGTAGCAGAAGCCAAATACAAGCCATGGCTAAGACGAGGGTCAAGCCCACAGTAGCCTCCTGCAAAGTTTGCAAAAAATAACGATGGGAGTCTGCGCTGACGAGCCACATGAAAGGTACGCCGTAGTAGAGCATTTTAGATTAGGCTAACGTTGCATGTTACGTTTGTTTAAGCTAACGTTAGCGAGCTGAATAGCGAACTCGATGAGGGATAATAATAATTGCAGGGGACAATCATTTCAGAGGAGCGTACCTACAGTGGGGCAAAAAAGTATTTAGTCAGCCACCAATTGTGCAAGTTCTCCCACTTAAAAATATGAGAGGCCAGTAATTTTCATCCTAGGTATACCTCAACTATGAGAGACAAAATGAGAAAAAAAATCCAGAAAATCACATTGTCTGATTTTTAAAGAATTGATTTGCAAATTATGGTGGAAAATAAGTATTTGGTCAATAACAAAAGTTCATCTCAATACTTTGTTATATACCCTTTGTTGGCAATGACAGAGGTCAAACGTTTTCTGTAAGTCTTCACAAGGTTTTCACACACTGTTGCTGGTATTTTGGCCCATTCCTCAATGCAGATCTCCTCTAGAACAGTGATGTTTTGGGGCTGTCGCTGGGCAACACAGACTTTCAACTCCCTCCAAAGATTTTCTATGGGGTTGAGATCTGGAGACTGGCTAGGCCACTCCAGGACCTTGAAATGCTTCTTACGAAGCCACTTCTTCGTTGCCCGGGTGGTGTGTTTGGGATCATTGTCATGCTGAAAGTCCCAGCCACGTTTCATCTTCAATGCCCTTGCTGATGGAAGGAGGTTGTCACTCAAAATCTCAAGATACATGGCCCCATTCATTCTTTCCTTTACACGGATCAGTCGTCCTGGTCCCTTTGCAGAAAAACAGCCCCAAAGCATGATGTTTCCACCTCCATGTTTCACAGTAGGTATGGTGTTCTTTGGATGCAACTCAGCATTCTTTCTCCTCCAAACACATCTAGTTGAGTTTTTACCAAAAACTTCTATTTTGGTTTCATCTGACCATATGACATTCTCCCAATCCTCTTCTGGATCATCTAAATGCTCTCTAGCAAACTTCAGACGGGCCTGGACATGTATTGGCTTAAGCAGGGGGACACGTCTGGCACTGCAGGATTTGAGTCCCTGGCGGCGTAGTGTGTTACTGATGGTAGCCTTTGTTACTTTGGTCCCAGCTCTCTGCAGGTCATTGACTAGGTCCCCCCGTGTGGTTCTGGGATTTTTGCTCACCGTTCTTGTGATCATTTTGACCCCACGGGGTGAGATCTTGCGTGGAGCCCCAGATCGAGGGAGATTATCAGTGGTCTTGTATGTCTTCCATTTTCTAATAATTGCTCCCACAGTTGATTTCTTCACACCAAGCTGCTTACCTATTGCAGATTCAGTCTTCCCAGCCTGGTGCAGGTCTACAATTTTGTTTCTGGTGTCCTTTGACAGCTCTTTGGTCTTGGCCATAGTGGAGTTTGGAGTGTGACTGTTTGAGGTTGTGGACAGGTGTCTTTTATACTGATAACGAGTTCAAACAGGTGCCATTAATACAGTTAACAAGTGGAGGACAGAGGAGACTCTTAAAGAAGAAGTTACAGGTCTGTGAGAGCCAGAAATCTTGTTTGTTTGTAGGTGACCAAATACTTATTTTACCGAGGAATTTACCAATTAATTCATTAAAAATCCTACAATGTGATTTCCTGGATTCTTTCCCCCCATTCTGTCTCTCATAGTTGAAGTGTACCTAGGATGAAAATTACAGGCCTCTCTCATCTTTTTAAGTGGGAGAACTTGCACAATTGGTGGCTGAATAAACTGTTTTGCCCCACTGTATGTTAATATGTGCGTTACAGTCGCCATCCTGTGGTGTTCAGAGGATGAAGCACTCACTGTTGTAATTCAACCCAGTCTCACGGCATTTCGTGTTATAGTCACAAAATATAATCTATTGATTCGACACAGAGCGTTTTTGAAAGTAATGTATTTCTACTGGCAGTATGTTTCGTGCCTAAACCAAATGTGATTTGCTCTATCGAAATCAGCCACATTGACCCGAAGACACATTTTCGTTTGTATTACTGGTCTGGGGGAAGCTCGCGAGTGCGTGTTTGTGTACCGGGGAAACACTCACAAGAAACACCGGCTGTTGTTATGCCTGCTATAACGTTAAATGACTCCGTTCTCTGCTTGTAATTATGCCGTACAAGCTTCAAAGTTGTATTTATCATCTGAATTTGCTGAAACAAGTTTAATATTCTGAAAGCCAAGACTTTGTTTATTTGAAAACAAACTGTCTCGAACCCTGTCGTGTTATCTATGATTACTATACGGCGTATGCCTTTACTTCATCATTTCAGCGGAGGGAGGGGGAGCGGCGCTACGGAAGAGAAGGGTGCGAATTGAGAGATGCCTCTTCTTCCCTTTACAAGCTTCAAAAATGTTTTATCATGAGATTTTGGCAATAACAGTTTCATGTTCTGAAAGTCAAGACTTTGTTTATTTAAAATCAAACAAAACACCCGAATCCTGAAAAACTAGTTTTTTTTACACAAATCCACGTTTATTTTGTAAATGAGCCGTTGCGACTTTTGACTGATTTCGATAGAGATAACAAATTAGAAGGAACAAAATATATACAGATTTCAGTATTCTGAGGCTCTGAGCCCCATTTATTTTCCCCACAGGCGGCAAAAAAAGCCCGACATTATACGATATAAAATTATAAAACAATAATGGTGGCTTGATATTGAGTAAGAACATGTTTTTATGAACCACACAGTTTCGGGTCTTCCAAGACCCGACCGGACAAAAAGACGCAGGCACGAAACATACTATTTGGTTGCGTAATTAGACCATAGCTTGTTAGTATGTTGTTAGTTATAAATTATAAACTGAGGATTTGACCGCGTCGCTATGGTTGATACTTTTAGAAACAGGCTTTAATATAAAATCTTGAAGTATTATACAAGTAAAACTACATTTAGCTTTAATCCCATCATGTAATTGTAGAATGAACACAGTCTTCCTTGGAAGATGTATAAGTCAGGTTCTTGAGTAGTCAAAATTACCTACAAATCATTGTACACATTAGTAAATATTATTTTCCACTTGTTACCATTGTGAGTCTATTTTTATGCAGCTCTGCGTGATTTTGTGGCTACAATTCAGGCTAATACACTACCAGAGTAGGGATCGACTAATATTGCTTTTTCAAGGCCGATACCGATACTGATTATTAGTAATCAAGGAGACCGATAACCGATATTTGGAACCGATATACATTTGTAGTAAAATCAGAAAATCTTGGTGTCAAAATGTAGAATAACACAAACTCCAACACAACTCAACACAACTTCTTTGAAATGCATGTAAGCATATATTATGTTTAATGAACTTTTAAACATCTTACAACTGGTTTCCTCTCGGTGCCCTTTTCTTTAGTGCAGCCATCTGCAATGAGTTAGAGAGAGAGACAAGAAGTGGGGCTGCAGGCTGACATGCCTAACTAACAATGATGCTTAATTGATTATATCAAAATAGTAACTAGTAGCCTCACTTCTAATATTTTGCTAAACATTTGCTCGATACATGTTGGCTAGCTAATGAGCTTCACATATCATATAGCATATAGCGAGACGCTGCACGCACCCCCAACTCTGACTGACTTCCCGCGTCCCTGTGTAACTGGGAAACTGATAGAATTTGATCATAAGATCGTGGTGTTTTTGCAACATCAGCATAGGGGATTGGGATGTTTATTGAACTTCGGCTTTCAACTGACTTACCTTCGAAACACATGTATGGCTCTGCCGCTCAGCGCTGCTGCTTGCCTCTGTCTGTGTCTGCGTTCTTCGCACCTGCCTGTAATCTGAGAAGGTCCCGCCTCTCTGGCTGACTCCCGTCCGGAAAATCTTCAGTGTTGATTGACACTTCAGTAATAGCCTATCAGATGG